CACGGTAGCTCGCTGCCAATCTCTCCGTCATCATCATCACCATCATCATCATCACCGCCTGCGTCATTCACAGATCGATCCCCTTCGTCACCGTTCTATTATTAGTGTGATTAATCCCGCCGCCTCCATTACGCTAGAGGCAGCCGCCGGCGGCTCATTCTCACTCACTCGCTTATATTCCGTCACATTCCTGTCCGCCCGAGTCTGATGGGACAGACGCCCGTGTGGGACAGACGCCCGGCAGCACCCCACCTCCCCAGCCCCCTCCCTTGGCCCCCTCCCCCTTCTCCTGAGCTGACAGTGACATCATCACCAAACTCATTACTTTCCTTGTAGAAGCTCACCTGTTTTGTTTTTCTTATGTGGAAAGCAGGGAAGGGAAATTTGAGAGAGACTCCAGAAAGTTCCAGATCATGTCTGCAAGAGAACTACGTGTTCTGGGCCACTGTCAGCATCTCATGCAGAGGGGGAATCTACACACACATACACACACACATTTGTATTCATACAAATTTTATTCATTGTGGGTCCCTCCATTCATTTCTATGGGCATAATCCCAACAAGACGCCCGTAATCCCTACCCAGCCCTAACCTTAACCATAAGTAACCAAACAAAACACAAGAGTTTTAGTATTTTTAGTTTTTTGATTGCAGTCACAGATTTTTTATAAAATTGAGTTTCCCCTTGTGGGAACTGAAAAATGGTCCTTACAACATCAAAATAACAGGTTATTATCATTTTGTGGGGACATTAAGTCCCCACACTATACACATAACCCACACACACACACACACACACACACACACAACCTTTCCCTGCATGAGTGTAGTAGCGGAAGGTGAAATTGTCAGGATGATCCATAAACATGTGATCAGATCTTCATCTACGCTGCAGTCTAACAGTGTAACAGGTAAGAATTAGATGAAGATCTAAGCCGTGTGCCGAAGGCCTTGATGCTTGAAATATTGATTAACTGGCATCATGTTATAGAGAAAAACAGCTGCAGGTCTTTGGTGGGATTCAGCCCGGAGAGGGACAGCTCAAGGCACCGGTGCTGAACTGAGGCACCGAAACACTCACATGCAGATGAACATTGGCTCTGTGTCTTAATAAAGGTGTAAGACAGCGCACCTTCCATCTGTGATTTCTTTAACCAGATTTTCATAGAACTAGATGAAGATTTAGGTGACAGTAACGCAGCAATGTTGACAGAGGTTCACAAACTTTCTCTCGGTGCTGCAGCATTCAGCTCTGTGGCGCACAGAGGGCGGGGCTATAGGGCGCACAGAGGGCGGGGCTATAGGGCGCACAGAGGGCGGGGCTATAGGGTGCACAGAGGGTGGGGCTATAGGGCGCGCAGAGGGCGGGGCTATAGGGNCAGAGGGCGGGGCTATAGGGTGCACAGAGGGTGGGGCTATAGGGCGCGCAGAGGGCGGGGCTATAGGGTGCACAGAGGGTGGGGCTATAGGGCGCACAGAGGGCGGGGCTATAGGGTGCACAGAGGGTGGGGCTATAGGGC